TCACATCTTTCAACAATAAGAACAACAAATGAATTGGCCAAACATTTTCAATCCATGTGAATGTTCACAGCATAAAACAACAACACCATTAATACCTGATACCCAAACATTTTCACTCAATGTGAATGTTCACATCTTTTATCAACAACAACAAAAACAGAATTGGCCAAAACATTTTCAAACCATGTGAATGTTCACAGCATTGAACAACGACCGAATAACATCTGAAATAATTTGATTATCCAACCATTTTCAATCAATGTGAATGTTCACAGCTTTCTTCAACAACAACTATAACATAAACATTTTGGAATGTTCACAGTTGTGAACACAATGTAATGGCAACTGTAATGTTTTTGACTGAAAAAATCAATATAATTAGGGATTACGATTGAGGGGTTCAGATTAAATGTTAGGGTATGAACAATATGGACTCCTATATATTGTATGCATAGAAACAGGGGGATATTTATAAAAGTTCACAATGTTGGTTGTTGATAAAGAGGTTTAGGGTTTAAATACACAAATGAGTAGAATGCTTACGTTTTTTGCCCATTTCGACGAAGAAGATGATGAGACGATAGGACGATGCGACGAAGGAACGAAGACAGTCTTCTGGGCGTAGGGACGACGAAGAAGATGATGAGACGATGCGACGATGGAACGAAAACAGTCTTCTCGGCGTAGGGACGACGGAGAAGATGATGAGACGATGCGACGATGGAACGAAGAGAGTCTTCTGGGCGTTGAGGCGATGTGGAATATGGATTTGGATTTTTGGACTGTAGAGATACTGTGCGTGATTTCCTGTGCAAGAATAGAGAGGGGAAGACAGACGGTTATTAGATTCAAAGAGAGAGAGGCGCATGTTTGTTTGAGGGTTTTTTTGGTCTTTTTGTATGAAATGGACCTAATGGAATATTATAAAACACTATGGGTCTTATGGAATAACACTCTTAGATAATGGATTTACTGAAAAAGCACCCAAAGAAAAACTCTCCAAAACTCTCCAAAAATGTTTCTAAAGTGAATCAATCAGTGTAAGGAATGTGTTCTCTATGATCTTCACTTTTTTGTTCGCATTAGGTGTGTATGTCTTCTTTCAATTCCATCCATTTCTTTGATCAACCTTAAACCCTAAAACAAACGAACATGAATATATATCTATGTGTATATATAGTTCAACGAGAGCAAATCCTCATTTTAGTCAGTCTCAATCTTGCTTCTCCCCCATCTTCCGAAGTCTCTCTTCTCTTTCTTTCACTGAGAATGTTCAAATCCATGTTCCCAAACAAATATGTTATGTTCAAACTTTTGTTCCCGAACAAATAACCAATGTTCAGACCTATGTTTCCAAACTTGATAAAACGAAAACTCCTACAAACATGAACAATTTTAACCCTTCAAAGTGTATCAAATTTCTATGTTTGGACATGTGTTCCCGAACAAATAAACAATGTTTGAGTCTGTATTCCCGAATTATAATCATATGTTTAGAAGTTCAATACCCAAAAAAATACGAACAATTTTCATTATTTTTGCTGTGTTTTTCAAGAAATTTATACTTACAAGGCCAATCTCCTCCGAGCTAAAATCACCATCAAAGCTATGAACCTCTTTTAAACTTAAATTATTATACTTCTCATCTCATGAAGTTCTGACTGTCGAAAAACTTTCACTCATTGCTATTACTGAAGAAGTGTACGTAATTAAATGATTACTACCGTTGCTGCCAGAATATCGCCGTCGGAGGGTTCTCAAGATTTTGAGGGTCTGATTTGAGAAAAAAAAGAGGATGGATGGTGATAATGATGGGTGTTCTCATAAATCCTATCTCATGATTTAGTGGATGTGTGAGCTTAATTGTGAGATGAAGTGTTTGAAAATGATTAATGTCCTTTTTAGTAATTTCATTTAATGTTATTATTATAATAAAAAAAAGTTCAAAAAATGGGAACGTCCAAAATAATATATGATGTGCTAATAACAATACTCTAAATTAATGAACATATTCCAATTATACTTAAACTACTACAAAATATTTTTCTAGGGAGCTGAATTAAAAAATGAAAAATTTACCTATAAATCTCATCTTCAGGAATGGTGATCCGTTTAGTCCCAAGAATTTTTTTTATAGGCCAATTAGTCTCATTGATTTTGAAAAGGTAGATTTAATATTTTATTTGAAAATTGGGTTTATGATTACACCGTTATTTCTATTATGTTTCCTTTTTTTTTTGTTTCTTTTTTTTTTTTTTTTTGTGTGTGTGCTAGAAAGATAAGATACACAACCTATGAGAATCAAATTTGGGATGGAATTTTATATTTAAATCTTTTTTATTTTGAATGATTTGAAATGTGAGATTCTTCAAACATTCTAAAATAAGTACAAAAATAACTTGAAATATGAGATTTATTTCAAAAGGATGTGAAATTCTTCAAACATTTCAAAAGGAGTACAAAAACTCCTCAGTAAGCTTTGGACAAATGTATAATTTCAAATTATAATACTAAAAAAATCTCCTTAGTATAACACTCCAATGTAACACACAAACAAACTCATTTTACTTTTCTCAAACGTAACACTCTAATGTAACATTCCAAAACAAGATGTGAGATTCTTCAAACCATTTCAAAAGAAATACAAAAATTCATTAGTAAGTTTTGGCCAACAATACTGATTGGTAACTCGAATTTGATTTGCCCGAAATTGCCCGAATTTTGGCTTGTCGATCGTCTGGCCAGTCATCTGATAAGAAGATGACAGCCGTTGTCGACAAGGGCAACAACCACGGTAGACAAATGTTGTACTAATCGTCCAGGCGGTCGATCGGAAACTCGACGATCAACAACCTTTTTGTAAAGGCCAAAGGTGAGGAAATAACCCTAACTAGATCAAAATCTAGAGAGAAGTCAAGGTTTTAGAGAAAGGAGCTCTCAAAATAGTTTTTAGAAAAAGTAGGAGAGAGAAAGGAAAGTAAAAAGTGATTTAAAATCACCCAGCGAATAACTCATATACGTATGACCCGTTCGAGCGGAGAACACAACATTCGAGCGCCAAGAACAAAAATCTGAACACGCTCGAGCGCAATAAGGCCCGCTCGAGCGCCAAGACACAAGAATAAAGCACTTCCGCTTATATTAGAATGTTACGTTATTAGAGTATTACATTCTTGTTTGTAATGTGAAATTTGTTCCAGAATGAGAAAAAATTTAAAACCTCTATAGTGCGAATTACCCAAATGTGTAATTTCACATTTGGATAAACCTACTTTTATCCCTCAAAAATTAAACCCAAATATGCAAGTGACTACCATTTTGTGTAATTTTCACTTTAATGGGACCTTTGTATTCATAAAAAAAAAAATGAAGGATTAAACAGTTCAAAATTATCACATTTTGAGATTTATTGGTGTTTCACCTAAAAAATTTATATATAAATCTGATATTGGAGAATGTTAATCCATTTAGTTTTAAGAGTTTTCTTATGAACCAATTAATTCTTTTTGTTTTGAAAAGTTGTATTTATTTGATTTGCTACTATTTGAATTTAAGTGAATGACATTTTGTGATTCATTTTTCTAATATTTTGATTCATTTTTGGGATAAGAATGGATAGGTGAGGTGTGGAAAATTCTTTTTTGGGAGGATTGGTGGCTGAAGTGTTGGCTATAGAATGTTGAAATCTACATTTTTGCTAGTGCGATTTTCTGGTATTACGTTAGAGTGCTATATTTAGAAAAAGTATATTAAGGAGTTTTTGTGTGTTTACATTGATTGGAATGTTATGTCTGGAAAAAATATACTAAGGAATTTTTTTGAAATATTACATTGTTACGTTTGAAAATTTTATATTAAGGATTTTATTAGTGTGTTACATTGGAGTGTTACGTTTGGAAAAAATATAATAAGAAGTTTTTTTTTTTTGAAATGTTACGTTATTACGTTTGAGAAAAGTACACTAAATAATTTTATAGCATTTTGCATTGGAGTGTTATGTTTAGGAAAAGTATACTAAGAGGTTTTTGTGTTTTACATTGATTGGAGTTTTTTTGGAATGTTACATTTTTAAGTTTGAGAATAGTATACTACGGAATTTTTTAATGTGTTACATTGAAGTGTTATATTTTTTTGAGTATTATATTGGATTGTTATATTTGGAAAAAGTATACCAATGAGTTTTTTTTTTTTTTTCTTTTGAAGTGTTACGTTTAGTAATTTCACTATTATGAGAAAATTTACATTTGTCTCTTAACACATAACATACGCTCGTTTATGTTCATGCTTGGCCTTTATATAATTCACGCAAGAATGGGACCTTTTGGTCCACAAGAAAAAAAATAATAAATAAATAAAAGAGAACCAAATAATTCATAAAATTACTATTTGAGATTTATTGGTGGTCTTTCCACCTAAAAAATTCTTTAAAAATTTAAAAATTGAGATCCAAACAGAATGATAAAATGTAGGTCATTGTTTAAGAATTCCAAAGCATTTTTTACTATGCATATCCTAAAATTTGGGTAAATTACAAATATACTCTTTGATATTTGATTAAAATATGAATTATTTTCTGTGATTTAAAAAATTACAAATATCTCCTTGTCAGAATTTTTTATTTAACAAGATTAATTGAAAAAATAAAATTTCTAACTGTTCACCTATATAATAATAAAATTATCTGAATTATTAATTGAAATAAAATTTTAATATTATTAAAACTGTTAATTAACTTAATAATTTATTAATAAAATAACTTATTTATTATAAATTAAAAATCTTAAAAAATATAATATAATTTTTAAAATTACAAAAATAATTTATAATTTAAATAAATCTCATTTCGTAATTTATCCCTAAAATTTGATTTGACCATAAGCAATTAACGATAATGTGACAAATGGGACACATTTTCCTCACTGGAGGCATGCAATATCTCTCCACTCCACAAATGCTCGTAAAAAAGCATTAAAATTCACACCCTAAATGTGACGTCGTCGTTGTTGTTCGCGCGCCCTTCCTCTCAGTCAAAACCAAGACCACATTCATTCATCTCCAAACCCCCCACCACCACCACCACCGCGGCCGCCGCCACAGCCACACTCATGATCGCGTCTTACCCTGCTCCGTCACCCACCTTCCTCCTCCCACAGTCGCCGCCGCCACCAACGGCTGATTCAAATTCCAAACTCCCCATTGATTTCAGCCCTCCCTTGATAGCCATAATCATCATCATCGCCACCGCCTTCGTTATCGTCACCTACTCTCGCCACATCTCCCGTTACCTCATTAACCTCCGCCGCCGCTGGCGTCGTCGTCGGCGGCGGCGGCGCTTCCTCCGATCCTACGCCCCGTCCTCTGCCGGCGACATCGAGTCTCCTCCTTACAACGCCTCGTCCTTCGACCCGACCGACGCCTTCCACGTCTTCTCTCCCTTCGGACTCGACGACTCCGTCATCAAAACAATCCCTCTCTCAATCCACACCAGGAAGAGCAGCGTTCACGACTGTGCCGTTTGTCTTCTCGAGTTCGAAGACAACGACTACGTCCGTACGCTTCCGGTTTGTTACCACGCGTTTCACGTTGATTGCATCGACATATGGCTCAAATCGCACGCGAATTGTCCTCTCTGCCGCGCCGGAATATTCCGCCCCGAATCTCCTTTCGTGCCGGTGATGGCCGCCAGAATCAGACCTAGCCTCGACGACGTGATCGTCGAGAGCACATTTCTGGAGACATTGGAGGAAGTTCCGCCGGAATCTGAAACCACGGTGGGAGAGATCACGCAGGAGCCTTCGCCGAGATTGAATCAATCAGAGGATCAATTCGGCGGTCGTGATTTCATGTTAAAACGGTCCTACTCGTTCGGATTCGAACGGAATTTAGGGTCGGAGAGATTAGTTCTGGAGGCGGCGACGGCGTCACCGTGGAAGTACCGCCGGGGAGGAAGCTTCTGGAGCAAAAGGCCCTCTCCATTTAGTTCACTGACGAAACCAAGAGTCTTTTCATTCCGACACTACAGAGGGATGAAATCGCCATTTTTCAGGCGGCGAAGTGGAGGAGGACTGTTTCCAATGTCGGAGTCAAGCGTGATCAGGTACGCCGGCGGAGGAGGGAGCTCGTCGCGGCGGAGCAAGTCGTTTGCGAGCCCGATGTTCATGAGATCGGCGGTTGGGCAGTTCTCATCGAGCAGGCTGAGGAGCGGTGATCCGGAGGCGTTGCTGTCGCCGGAGAGATTTAACAGGCGCTGATAGACCATCTGAGGTTGGAACGGACAGTGGAAAAAAGTTGGATGAGGGGCGGCGGCGGCGGTGGTGGTGGTGGGGGATGGGGTCGGGTGCTTTAATGGAGGGTATCATGCTTGAAATTAATGGGGGAATTCAGTGGCTAATTTTTGTAAGGCGGTCATTGAATTGTGGTTGGTGGTGATGAGAGTTGGGAAAGGGCATTGAATGAATGAAACGTTGAAGGAAAGTGATAGCCTGATGGAGAGTCAACACAGTACCCCATCCCTCTGTCTCTTCTTTGTATCTCTTTATAGAAGCAGTAACACTTATTTTTGCAGATGTGAGATACTTTTTTTCGTCAATTTGTAATTTAAAAGTAAGAACTGCATAATATTACTTTAAAAATTTTGTGGTTACATATATTACTATGAGAATGTATAAATTATTTATAATTTTATTTTTAAATCATAAATTATTGTAATCCTTTTAGCAGAGTGCATGATATTTGCCATAAAAAAAACATATAAAAAAATGCATAATAAATTGAAGGGTTCTTTTACAACAATGCTAGGCAGCTCAAAATTTTGTGGTTCAAATGGCTCAAATAACTCAAAACGACGTCGTTTTAAGTGTAAATGAGTGTAAAATGACGTCGTTTTGACAGATTTGAGCCATTTGAACCACAAAATTTTAAACTACCAAACATTTTCTATTCTTTTATATTGCAGATTTCAATATGAAAAAAAGGTGCGGTGCTCAAGCTTACTATTTGTTTCGTTTCAATTATTTGAACTATTTTTTTTTTGTTAAAATTCTTAATATATATCATTTATAAAAAATTTAGGTCAAACTGAAAATTATAACTTTTTTATTTTATCGTATTTGTCTCTAAAAAAATATATAATCTATTTCAAAAATATATTTGTCATCTATTTTTTCGGAGACAAATGTAATAAAATAAAAAAGTTATAATTGTACCAAATTATTTTTTTAATGCATGATATACATTGAGGGCCTTACAAAATGAGATATTGGTGATTGTTGTGTGACCCATGAAACTCATTTCAGGTTTTATTTTGATAATCTGAACCGTTCTAATTTTAGAAAACATTAAGAAGAATATATCTGTAAAAAAATCAAATTGAGCGGATATTGATAACCCTTTCATCAAAGCATATATATATATATAAATGAATATGCATGTATCAAACAGAATATAAATGTGATTTCATGTAAGGGTTATCGATATCCGATGAACTTGATTTTTTTATAGATATATTCTTCTCGATGTTTTCTTAAATTTGAACAATTTGAATTATCAAAATAAGATCCGAAATGAATCTCACAGTTGTGTATCACGCACAGCACCAACATTTACAAAATAAATGGTTCGAATCATCGAAACAAGACTCGTCGTGGACCCTATAAGCTCCACTACAAGAAAATATGGCAAAAAAGACGGAATTATTAGCGACGGCGCTAAATCCCTTTTGCAACCCCCTCTCTTGCGACCCCCCACCTGCCGTCGCAAAAAACTGATCCCCGTCGCAAAAAACTATTAGCGACGGCGTTTGGAGTATTTGCGACGGCGTTTTGCCGTCGCAAAAAACAATTTTTTTTGTAGTGCTCGCTCAAGTTCTCTCATATTAAAATCTCAACAGGAGAGAAACCCAACTCTTCTTATATATATCTATACTATTATTAAAATCCAACAATTACTTTAGAGCTCCGAAGTGATACTTTCAAAATTTTATATTAATTTTTCTAAAATAACCTTAACTTTTTCAATGATTATACCACTTTTAAACTTATATCAATTTTTGAAAGTAAGATCATAAATTACCAACTCACAAAATATAACAATTGAACAACTTCTCACCTTCGACAAACATTTCACCATCATGACTTCTTTCTGCAACAGTTTTTTATTTTTGCTAAAACTTTTCCGTTTTCTTTTTGGAACTTTTTGGTTTTCATTTGGAACTTTAGTTTGTTTTTTATTTTTATTCGGAGGAGATACACTAATCAAGTACACTGCAATCGTATGATTCTGTTGCAAGTTGATAGAATAGTTATTCAAAGTATATATGCGCGGCTCATCTTACACTGTTAAGTATAATATTATTAAATATAATTTTTATTTTCTTCATTACAAAATTCAATTATGTAATCAGATTCTTTGAAGGAAAAAAAACACACTATAAAAAAAATAATTACTATTCGTAAAATTTGGTTTGATTTATTTGTTTGTTGTCTTAATAGTGTTCAGGTTCTTTGAAAAAAAAAAAAAAAAACATAAAAATACAAGTGTGTTTGGTTAGAGTTTTTTGAATTAAGTTTTTTAAAAATTTAGCTTTTTTATTTTTGTATTTTATTTTTATTTTTAGTGAATATTTTTAAAATTTTAAGCATTTTTTTTTTTACTTTTTAGATGCATCTAAGTAAGATGCATCTAAAAAGTAAAATATTTGTGAAAAAATATTTTAAAAAATTAATAAATACACAAAAATAAGAAAAATGTACTGAATTTTGGTTTTTTTTTAATATTTTTTGGTATTTAGTGAATATTTTAAAGATTTTTTTTACAAAAATTATACTTTTTAAATATATTTATGTTAGGTGTGTCTAAAAATTAAAAAAATCGCTTAAAATATTAAAAAAATCAATAAAAACAAAAAAAAAAGAGTACGGAATCTAAGAAAGTAAAATTTTTTGAAAAGTATTTTTAAAAAACTCAAACTAAGCAAATAGTATTCATAATTTTTTTTTTTTAAAATTAATTTTTTTAAATTTTTTTTTGTACGTGTACATCATAGCTAAAGATCTCTAGTGTTTTGTGTTATACTTTTCATTATTATTCTCTTCATTAAGCTTTGTTTGTTTTTGTGTATAAATTCAATTTTTAAAAAGTTGGTTTGTTTGTTTACTTAATTTTGTGTGTGTGTGTGTGTTTTTTTTTATTTAAAAAATCAGTGTTCTTTTGTATGTGTGTGTTTAATTTTTTTTATTTTTTTTATAAATATTTTCAATAAAATCTCTTTGATTATGAGTGTGCAAAGTGTGAAGGGTTTATACTTGTCTATTTTGTGTGCCTTTATATTTTTATTTATTCAATTTATTTATTTTTTTAAAATTACGAAGTATAAATGTGTAGTATTGTTTGGCAAATTGATTTGTGACTAAAATAATCACAAAAGACAAAATATGCTATTTTAGCCACAATAAATAAAACATCATATTCAACCCATAATCATTACACTATTCTCTCACAAGCAAAGCTAAAAACGCCTAAAAACCAAAAAGTCTTTCCCAAACTAACCTTTTTAGCCCAGGCTAAAATAGTCAAAAAAGTCAAAAAGTCAACCCACTTCTTAAACGGAGGCTTTGAGACTTGACTTAAATAGAATGAGATTTTTTTCTGTTTCACTTTTTTAAGCATTTGTTTGTTTTTTTTAAAAAAAATTAGTTTGTTTGTTTACTTTAGTGTGTGTTTCAAATTTAGTGATTTATGTGTTTTGGATTTGTATTTTTTTTTTTAAAATTTTGTGTGCTTCTATATTTTTGTATTCAATTTTTTTTTTTAAATTGTGAAGCGAAAAATGTGTGCAATTTTTTAGACTTAGATTAGACTTGAAAAGTTTGAGATTTTTCCCTATTTAACTTTTTTAAGCTTTTTTTTGTAACGGCCCTGATTTCTTTGTAAGTCTTTATTTATTTATTATTACTTGATTTTATTTTTAATTTTATTAATTGCGTAGTTATATAAGAATTTAACTTGGTTTTTAATTAATTTAATGTGTTAGTTAATTATACATAATTAATTTGAATATTTATATGTTAGTTAATTATATATAATTAATCTGAATATTTATATTTATATTTATATATATATATATATATTAAAAAAGAAATTATTGATATAAATTTTATATAAGATATATATATGTATATATGTGATTTATTTGAATAATATATATAATAGAAAATTAGGTTATTATATATATAATATAATATAAGTAGTCAACTAGGTTTTAATCACTTTTTGTGGAAGATTTTCCTTCAGCAGCCGAGGAGAGAGAGAGAGAGAGAGATTAATCAAAGTAAATGGGAGAGAACATAGAGACGGCAGCAAGGAGGAAAAGAGGAGAGGATTAGGGTTTTGTTTTAGTGGTTCTATTAATTTTTTAAATATTTTTTTGATTTTTAAAAAAATATTTGAGTATAAATCCTACTTCTCTTGATTTATGTTTAATTCGTTGTTTTTATTTATTTATTTATTTTTATTTATTTGATGTTAGATTGATTATGTTTTTACATAAAGATAATAAATTGATTTTAATTAGTTGTGTATGTAAGGTTTATGATTTTTAGATATTTGATTGATTTTAATTATTTTGATTAGTTGTGTATACAAAGTTTAGAGTTTTTAGATATTTGATTGATTTTAATTATTTTGATTAGTTGTGTACACAGGATTTAGAGTTTTTATATGGATTTATTTTATGGTTGTAATAACACTCATGGTTATATGAAATTAAAAGTAATTAGGAATCTATGGATTGTTGTTTTATTTGAGTGTTGGTGAGAAAGAGTGTATAAAAAAAAGTGAGGATTATGAGATTTATTTGAATGCCTTAGGCATGGCATTGTTATGTTGTTCTCATGAGTAAAGTTTGGTATATCTATATTGTTGCCTCGTTCCCAGGAGTAGACGAGTGCCTTGATTTACGCGCGTACGTATATGTTAACCATCCGGGGAGTGTGGGTCAAACTCGGGACGATATCCCCGTGCAAGTTTGGCTGCGGAGCGGTGTTAGGTATAAGGGAAGCACATGGGATATATGTGTAGGCTGGAAGTGGAGGCCGAAGTGGTGGAGTTAAGGTACAAAGAATTAAATTACGAGTTTATTGATATAGTGTGAATTGTGTTGATTTGTATATCCTGAAAAATAGTAAACGATCTTGATAAATTATGAAATTTGAGCAGATGCATGTATACGTGATTCTAGATAACTTTTATATTTAGAATTTTTATTAAAAAGATCGATTAGGACTTATAATTGGATGATATTAGTTATTGTAGTTTTGATTCATTTTAACAATACAGATTTTAGAGGCTGTTTTAACCCACGAAACGAGCTCATTTTTATTTGTTTCATGTAAACTGAAGTAAAACGTTATTCTGCACATTTTTCATGTTTTGAACTTTTCTGAAACAAATCATCTTAGGACAGTTTTTGTTCGTTTTCAGATTCAGATTTTCGATTGAATTCCGTCTAGGTTCTTCTATCAAGTTTTACTTTCAACCTGTTCAGTTTCTGTTAAATTAGTTCACAAAGCCTTTTAGGAAATTCGATTCTGTACAACTTTTGTTCTTTGAGTTTAGTCAATTCGAATTATTTCAGCATGAAACGGTGTATTTTTTATACTTCTTCAGCAAGTTACTTATGATTAAAT